GCGAGGCTCGACCATGGCCGTGGCAAAAGAGCACGCCGGCGAAAGCTCGGTTAGGGGGCTAAGGTCCATAAACGGGAATCGAGGGCACCCGAGAGCTCGGGGAGAAGGGTCGCTTCAGTCGAGAAGACGGCCGGAGGGAAGGGCGGGCGGCGGGCGCCATGGCCGCGGCCGAGAGCTCATGGACGCACCCAAAACAAGGTCTCACGCCAACTAAACGGGAAATAAGTTGCCTTGGGAGAGAGAGGGGAACAAGGCGAAGCTCACAGCGGGGAAGGATGGAGTCGACGGTGGCTCGGGGAAGACGGCGACGTGGACGGTGGACGGCAGTCCTCGGAGCTCCTCCGTGCGGCAGTTGTGGCCGGGACGAGGCGAAAATGGAGCGGGGAGCGAGAGAGAGACACGCTGGGGGCTCGGCTTCGCTTAAAAAGAAGCCGAGGCACGCGAGGGGGCGCTCAACGACGCCTGGGGCGGCGTGTTCTTGACCTCGCGACATGGCCGGGCGGTTCGAGGGCGCGGGCAGAGGTGGGGGACGCGTTGACGGGCGGGGTCGGGCTGTTGTCGTGCCGGGCGCTGGAAGAAAGCAATGCTGTGATCTTTGGGCAATGATTTACTGGTCTTGAGTGGTATGCAGTGGGGCAGGCATGGTGGTGGTGGGGGGTTCTTTGGGAAGGCTGTCAAAATGGGTTAGGCCAAGGGAAAAAGGGGGAGGCGAATGGGTGGGGCTAGTCTTTGGGCGAATGTGAGGAAGGGGAGGAGATGGAAGGAAATTTCCTTTTTCTTTTTATAAATAAAATTTTCAAACTCATTTTCAAAAGGTTTTTAAAATCTTCTAGCATTTGAACAAAACCACCCGTCACAGAAATAAATATGCAATAGCATGAATGCATCAACATGTTTCTATTCTTGTATTTTCTTTTAATTTCATAAAAGAAATATTATTTCCTAAATTTGAAATGCACATATAATTGCATATTTAAATCAAATTTACTATTTTAAAAAGAATTCAAATTTTAGGGTGTTACAGAATCAATATAATAAGAGAAGGGAACAAGGGGTACAGGACAACTGTGTACACTGGTAGAGAACCGGACTTTACTCCCAGTGGGGAACCCCTCTAGTCCTGGTTCCCCACCCGGGAGCAAGCATCCATGACTAAAGAGGGGTCCTTTAGTTCCTGGTCAGGAACCGGGACTAAAGGGGTCCCGGTGGGTAACACCAACCGGGACTAAAGGTCCTCCCAGCTTTAAAAAAAATAATACCTCCCACCGCTGCGTCCCGTGAGATTCGAACCCAAGACCTCATGCATTGCCTCGTGCGTAGCTTACCACCCCACCTACATAACACATCTAACAATGGATGGGATGCTTTCCTTTTGAACTAACCCATCGGGGGACCTTTAGTCCCGGTTGGTGACCAGGACTAAAGGGTCATTTAGTCCGGGTTGGTGTTACCAACCGGGACTAAAGGTTGGAGGACTTTTAGTCCCGGTTGGTGGCTCCAACCGGGAGTAAAGGTCCACCTTTAGTCCCGGTTGGTGCCTCCAACCGGGACTAAAGGTCCTCTGCCACTGTGCCGAGCGCAGTAGCCGTTGGGCAGAGACCTTTAGTCTCGGTTGGAGACACCAACCGAGACTAAAGGTCTCTCTAGTCCCGGGTGCAAAAAATGTCGGGACTAGAGCCCATTTTAGCTTCGAATGAAAGGTCTGTTCTCTACTAGTGGTACCATGTATCCACGTATCACTATCAATCCTTAGACCGTAACAGTGCAATGGATGATTCAATCAACAATGCCATAACAAGTTGAACTAAACAGCCTGTTCGCTTGTTGGTTTCAGCCAGCCCAAACCAGCCAGCCAACAGTATTTTTCTCTCACAAAAAACTAGCACCAGCCAGCCCAAACTAGCACCAGCACCAACCAGCGAACAGGCCCAAAACCAAACAATTCAACGGCTCACCATGTGTCTGGGGAAGGCCCACCTCCTCAAACCAATGTTCCCCCTTTTCACAAGCTTGCTATGCGGAGAACATGCATTTTATTGGTTACAAACACGAAAAACTAGGCTCACCAAGTACAATCGTATTTTTATTTTTAGGGCTTGTTTGGCATAGTTCACAATAGCTTCATGAGTTGTTGTGAACTGTTTTATTTGTCAAACACTCATTTCTAAAACAGCTTCACCCATAAAGCTATTTTTCTCCTCCTCTCACAGAGACATAAGTTGTGATGAAGCTGAAAAAATAGCTTATCGCAGCTCTCTCCCTCATTTCTCTCTCCCATCCATGCAAGAAGTTGTTGGTGAAGCTGTTTTGCCAAATAGTTTTCCCAAAACAGTTCAACTTCACCTAAAAAGTTACTCATGAAGCTGTTTTCCATAAAAACAGCTTTACTAGTGAAGCTGGGTTGTACCAAACATGCCCTTAGATGGAGCTTCAACTTGCAAATAAACTTATTTTTTACTACCTAACCTATTTATTTTAGCAAGGTTAACATAACTCCACGGGGAAGTTACCAAAGGAAGGTTTTATTTTTAGATGGAGTATCAACTTGCAAATAAACTTATAGATAAATGGTTGTGGAGAGAGAGAAAGATTGGAGAAACACCTTACGCCCATTGTGATATGACTTTCATATACATAACCCATTAATTACACCTTGTGTTACTAGAATGCAACACCCCCTAGTGTTAGGCTATACATCTCTGATACCCACCTGCATTTGCAACATGAGGATCTCAGGCATAAAGGTTGGACCGGAAGTCAATAAACCCTTAATCATGATGTTCGTGAACTAATGCAAAGACAGGACATGGAGCACGGGATCCTACCCTAAAGTGAAGGCTTTATTTTGAGAGGGAGTTCAGCTTCCAAATAAAATTATGGATAAAGAGAATGCCCTTGTTCATCAAATACTGATACAAAAAATGTAATGAAAATTGCCCATGGTTATTTAAATCCTTGGTGAATCTATCATTCTCACTTATTAGTTGAAAATCAGCAATTTAAGCTACTAGGTTGTGCCGATCAATCAACTTCTCCCACCCCAACTAATGTTCCATGAAAAGATATGTTCAATGGTACCTGATTCAAAACATTTGCCACTATGACGACAGGGGGTAGTTGACTATATTATTAAAGTGGTTATGGAATTGCACACCGTGTATCTTTCGTTTCAGGAGCGACAACTTGAATACATGAACTAACCACTAAAATTAGGGTGTAGTATGTCTATGATCTCCGTTCAAAAATTATTGTGTGTTCAAAGACTATTTGAATAGCGGCGCACATCTTTCGCTTACTCTAAATAACTCCAACCTTCACAATATTCTCATCATGTGCTTGTTCCTTTCTTTTTCATGGCCTCTCTCTTTTCTGTTATTCGTTGCCCATTTCGCCACCGATGTGCTCCATGGACCCTGGTCAACCAACTTGCACAAAATGCACTGCTTTTTTGTTTCAGCTCGTGATTGTGATTTTCTAACCACGGCATTAGCCGCAAGAGCCATAGCATTTTGAAGCCTATCAAGGTAGCTCATGATAAATTCTCTAAGACCAATGGACTGGTCACTGATGGAATACGCTTTGGCTGTCCATCAAGAATAACTTACTCATCTTAGAATGCAGGATAATGGAACAATATTCACATTGCAACTTGATTCTCAAATCTCAGCTTTTTCAAGATTAGTCTTTGTTGAGAGGACATTGTGGCAATCTGAGAGCGAGGGCTAAATTTTGGCCTCATAGATTGACCTTTAGCAATTTCGGTCCTCAGTATTCATCTAGACGTCTACTAATGTGTGTTTTCTTTCAACCTGCACAATCTGCTGTATGCCTTTATTTCAGTATGTAGCCATGTAGGTGTTTCATACAAGCTCCTCGCTAAATTTCCAGCGAGCAGTTCTATAGACCCTCCACTTTCGATATACTAGACTAGAGGCAAACTAAGCCTGTTTGGTACACGGTACATTTGTTCCAACAGAATTGAACCATTTCCTGCTAGATTCCAAACAATGTACAAATGGGGCCATATAATCAGCCTTTTTATGCTTAACCATAATCACCACTAGAGAAGTTTAAGAAAGAACATGACTTTCGGCGCACCATGACAAAAGGAAGCAAGTTAATCATTATAATTAATGGAAAACCATTATGCCCAATAGGACAAAACAAACTTTCCGTGGCACCAAAAGAGCATGGGCAAAGAAAGAAATTATGGTACTTTTTTTGGCCTTTTGGGATGGAATATCTAGGATGAAGAGACGAAACAGAGCCTCAAATAAAGAGAACATAATGGTGGACCGTCAAGTGAAAGTGTGAAACAATTGCACAGCAGATCACAAAAGTTGTGTGGAGATATGAGAAAGAATATAGAATTGACCATACTATTTTGTTTGGGAATAAAGACGATTTATGCTGTTTGGCTGGCATCAAGCGTATGTGCAACACCACGAATAGTGCAGAGCTTCCAATACCTCACCCTGTATGATCACAGTACAAAACAAAAAATGTAATGATCACATTACAGAACATGGAACAGAAACAACAAAGACAATTTACTTTCAATTGCCCAGGTAATAGATGAAACGTAGTTCGATGAAGCAGGCAGTCAGTCAAAAAACATTCAATTGATAGGCAGAGCACATTCATTTCATAACTGAAGTTTGCACAAAATGGAATTGGTTAATAAATTATGAAGTGCATCGAGACGACCTGTTCTGGAGGATGAATGTTGATACTTCCATGGTGAAAATATTGGAGCAGCTGTAATCACTAAACTGATCAGGTAACCAAGATTCGGAACGCAATTGCAATTTACAAATGTGATACATCATACCAGAATGAGAACATGATGCATGCTAAAGAGAAAATGAGAATATTATAATATCATTATAAAAAAAAAAATTGGACCAAGAATAATGCAAAACAAAGATGTTACAATTAATTGGAGAAAAAGAGAAGAGAAAAAGCACAAACTAGTTACAAATGAGATATAACTGCTATATCTAGCTCCATGGGTCATCCCAGCCTTTGGGCCCCTCCCTCTTGACAAAATCTACAATGGCCCGAACTGCTTCTTGCACTCTATTGGACAGAGCATGGTTTCCCCATTCTATCTCAACTTTCTCTGCACCTCCCAGCGCTCTACATAGTCTGCAGTGCAGAGATGACATGAGTTCAATATAATATGATATCACATTAGTACTCAGCATATTTAGGTTCTGTCGTTTACCTGTCTACTAGAGCCTCCTTATCAACATATTCAGGTACATATTCATCCCCCATTGAAAAAATAACCTGCACAGCACTTGAAGCTATTAAATGCAAGAGTCGAAGCATGAGTCAAAATCAAATAGATATTGCCATCTCACACTGTACAAGGAAAATAAAGTATAACTGAAACGTATGCAACGCTCGAGTTTCAACGAATCGCATACAATTCACCATCATATGATACAACATGAATGAAACCTGTTTAGTCACAAGTTGGTGGGGTAGGCTGGAGTAGAAACCCAACACGAGCCACCAACAAAAAGGAAAAAAGGAAAAATATATTTAATGCAAAATTATTCTCTACATCCATGCAAAATTTCATGATCAAACCCAATTTGGTTTGTGAGGGAAAAAAATTGCAATAGCACAATAAGGACCACAAAAAACACTGTTCACACTAGTAGACCTGAAACTTGTCCTTTTTTTCCCTAAAAGACTCGACCAGGGGGAGAGACGTCCCCCTGATTTTCGTCTTAAGAAGATGGTGCCGTGACTCAAACCCGGGCTGGCTCAGCCAACCGCTTCTTTGGTGTGTTGTGCTGACCAGTTGCACGGTGAGAGTGTTGGCTCCTTTTTTTCCCTCATGCCAACAAGATTGAATTTGATCATAAAATTATGCATGGATCTAGAACATAATTCCACCTATAGCTGAGTTTTTTTTTAGAATTTATAGAAATTCTACATATCTTTTTTTGATTGATTGGCCATTTGCACCAGAATTGCACCCTATGAGAATACTAGTTCTATCATTCCATGGCCTGTGCAAGGATTTTTGCAACAATAGAACTATCCTGGACAACAAAGCCAACATAGGAGTAGAACAACAGTACATACCTGGCACTGTGTGGTTGACATATGACCAAGTCTCTGCCTCAGCTGATCTTCACTTAGATCTGAACTGAACATGTCATCATCACCCATATATGAACAAAGGGAGTGGTACCTACATATTTACTTGTATGCATTAGAATACCACAGATGAAGAAACATTTTTAGTTCCTTGTTGCTAATTTTGCCATCGTAACTTCTTTGAATGATTATTAGGACACATGCTGGAAATCTTGAGCCTAGTTCCAAAAAAAAGGGTTGACGATTAAGTTTTTCTTAACAAGCTCTAAGATATTGCTATTAAACAACACAGGCCTAAGCAATTCCTTTCAATATACTCCCTCAGTTCCAAAATGTAGGTTGTTTTAGTTTGTCCTAAGTCAAACTTTTCTAATATGACCAAGTTCATAGAAAAATTGACCAACATCAAGTAGCTTCATTAAATCCACTATGAAATATCTTAATAGCGCATCTTCGATATTATAGATGGTTTTCTACGAACTTAGTCAAAGTTAAAGACATTTGACATAGTACAAAACAAAAACGACATCCATTTTAGAATGGAGGAAATAGTAGATTATGCTTTATTGGCTCACTGCTTTGTGGGTCACAATTGTGAATGCTGGTCAGTTGGTCACAGAAACAGGGGAAGGGCATAGTGAATGCTGTTGGCGGTTGTGCTGGTTTCAATGATTACCATGGCTTCCCATTACCTATAGAGGAGCCACCCCACTACTAACTAAAGTAGGCAGGCTACTACTCCCCTGGTTCAGAAAGGCACTTATGTTCAAAATTCAAATGCCAATCAATTACTGTGAATACATGAAATCCATGACAGATCTATCAATTTTTTTGATCAAGAAATGGGTTGAATTGAATCGCTCAAAGTGGTAGTCTCATAACATCCACGAATACCAACTCTTATGCGAGCAAACTCCACAGCTCGACATGGAAAATTGCAAAAACATTAAAACACCAGAAATTGACAGATCAGACACCATAATACATGGCCAATGATGCCACTAATGGACACAGCTGACCAATAAGAGAATGTCCAATAGTTTGCTAAAATTACTCCCAATCTTAAGATTTTAGCAAAATGAGAAAAAAAAATGCTCCAACAACTCCCTATTTCTATTCCCAATCTCTCCGAGCTTTGGAAAAACGAGAGCTTCACGCATAAATATCCACGGGCGCTGAGCGCTGCGTATCCCTCGTCCGGTTCTTTTTTCTCATTTCGCTCACAATCTCTCTGTGTTCGAGTCTGTGTTATACACATCGAGCGCCAACGCCGTGGGCAACCACGTCGCCAGCAAGCAATCGTCGCCAGCCAGAAACAGGGTCATAGATGGAGCCGACTAACAAGTCATGGAAGCCACTGCCGTCGTCACCCTGAGCCTCATCCTCCTTGGTGCTATCCGTTTGAGCCTCGACGAGCAAAGCACCAATGCCAGGCACCAACGAGGAGGCCGACTTGTCCATCTATAGCCAGCTAGGGACGGCGGCCGGTGACTGGTGGGCGCAGATGGCTGATTCTGGATGAGCACGAAGGAGCGAAACTACTGAAGGAAAAAGTTTGGTGGACTTCTTTGATTTTTTTTTAGAGAAAATTATTGGAAACGGTTGGAGACAGACAAAAAATCACTCCCTACACTCTTTTAGAAGTTGGAATAATCATAGGTTTACCATGTGATTTATTAGGAACTCTTGGAGGTACTCTATGCACTATCTCTTGCAAAAAAAAGAATAGACAAACTGCTTACATCATTAGAGTCAATTTGTGGTCGCTGTATAGTGGCATCTGGTTAATTAGGGGAACCTTTTCTAGTTCAAATAGGATTTTGGTATACAAATACGCATTCAACAACTGGATCCATACCATTTTTGAACCAGGCATGCCCATTTTCCATTAAAGAAACAGAAACAACTGTCTTAAAGAAGCCGGAAAAGCACCCAAAAAGAATAATATGCTAAATTAGAAACAATTAAGTGCTTTTGAGAAGCTACCAACAATGCCAACAAAACCTTAGTGCAATCTCTAAATTCTGTGACTCAATCATAAACATTGTACCTGTAAGCAGTAATAGGAGCATCTGGGTTTGCTTCTCTAGGCATCAAATCCATTCCACGGCCCTCGCTAATCATTTCGGCTGCCAGGTCTATCATTTCAGCTGTTTCTGGAAGAGTTGCTCTATACTCCCTATCACTTACTGGAGCCTGAGGTGTGAAGAATAGAATAGGGTAGAAGTTACAAAAAAGATATCACTAAAAATATTAAGTTAGTTCCAGCAAATGTAATCAATTCTTATTAACAGGTTGCAAAGTTGACCAGTAAGCTTTACATTCAGAGAGAGATTCAGCACACATAAAATTTAAATAACTTTTAGTCATCTACCTGTGCATCCAGAACATGAGCATGGACTTCGTGAAAAAAAAAAATGAGCATGGACAGGGAGAATACCTGTAATATGACCCCAGAAACCGCTTTGGAACAAGCAAAGTTTGTGCGCATATAATGCACAATATCCTGGCACCCACGGAAGAGTCAGTGTATATTTCATGACTGTAAAGTAGTAATCTCTAGCAGTTATTAGTAATAGTATACCTGGCATCCAGTACTATGACCAAGCAATATTACTCCTTCAGAATTTTCTTTATTTATTAGGTAACTGATGAGTTGATCTAGTTCCAATGCATCCTTCAACAAGACAACAAATATGAGCAAAACAGAGACCAAGAATATGGAAGAAGTTAAAAGCAAAGACAAAGGAAAAACTAATAAAACTGAAAATTTAATAAAAAAAATAGGGGAAACAAAATATGTTATATAATTATTGGCATATTACTATATCCAAAAGAACAGCATAAAGTAAAAGGTAAATCTACGGGTTAAACGAAAAACACACTATCACTGACACTAACTAGCTTCACATGGTTAAAGAAAGCTTCCATAGCACAGAAGGGGAATGACAATATAATGAGAGCAATCATGGAATCCTAGGATTATCTAATATTCTAATCTAATGAAAAGAAAGAAGGATGCCAACGAAATCCGCTCTAGATCTACAAAATAAAGGTTTCTGAGAGAACCCTGTTAGTCTGGTAAGAATACAGAAGCAACATACTTGCAGGATTTAGATTTTGTCCTGTGTCCGAAAGAAGTGCTTATGAATATGTTCTTAATTCTTATCACCTAACGTTTCAAAACTGCACTTCAGAACTAACTGAACTCAAAGAAACCTATCGACCTCAAATTCTATGCTGTAGCTAGTTATTTAAATATCCTTGGATTCTATTTATTTTAAGGACAGTGTTTCTAACCTTCAACTTTGCTATCTAAAATATCCCACATAGTATTGATTATTGAAGGGACCTTAAGGCTCAATGGTTTAGGTAACTGGAAGATAAGGAAATTCATAGAGCTTTCCATAGCTAAGAAACATTCACTCAGAATATTAAAATTTTTGAATCATGTAGAACATCAAGTAAACTGATGCATCAAATTTTAAAACATTAATCGGTTCTTAAGCATGATAAATCCATCATGCCATCATAACATAAGCACACCAAAGATATTGATATACAGCATGTTCTATTCTAAAGTCCCTATCCTTATCGATACAAGAATAAAAGCTGATTTTAATTCCAAACAAAGAATCATACTTGCTCTAAGCTGGAAATTCCATATCCAGTGTATGATGAAGAAAGCAATGGCTGTACCAAGGACCATTTCTCAACCTCCAATGCAAGTGACAATGGTTCCAAGTAACTGTAGGTTTTCAAAAATCAGTTAGCTGTAGTGAAATGAAATTAAATATAAATTAACAATACAAAAAACAGAAGGGTATGCATCAAAAGTATATTTACAGAAGAGCAATAAGATGCATTGGCTTTGAAATTATGTCACATCTTAATATTTTGATTTAATTTGTCCATTAACATTTTTATCAAATGTTGACAAGTATCATTATGAGCTTAATGAAACATGCCCGGAGTGATGCTGGCAATTTGTAACACTCTGAGCATATGTTGCATCCAGAAGATGAGAAGAATCATAGCTAAATTTTCAAAGAATCAATCTATTTGGTTTTCACAAGGCATGATTCAGATTAGGCCAGTTTTGCAAGGTAACTAACCAAACATCCTGGCCTTATAAAGATGAAAAGATCCAAAAGTTACATTTACTTCTCAGCAAATCTTTGTTACAAGCATTATTTAAGTTCTTGCAGTGATGGACAGCACTTAGTCAAAATATCATATTATCATATAATCATACCAATTGAAGACAGGTGGAGATGGTAGAACACAAGAATATGAAACATTACAAGAATCACATGTCAACTATAAGATAGTGGCATCGCTTAGATGAACAAAGTTGTTACTCATGTGCGCACATGGTACCAACACTACTAGCCTAAATTCCATAGCTTTTGAAATCAATTTGGTACTATTGTGAAGTTAATTGTAAGACCCAAGAACCAGCAAAGGATGCAAGAATACCAGAATATGTTTGCATGATACATAAATTCTTCAGTTCTCATTCAAGAGAAAAATCGTCGCTCATTTCACATTTACCTTATTTATGGATATAAACCATGGTGTAACATGGTTAGAACATTACAGACTTTATTTCCAGATTCAATAGATGTTAAATTGAAATATTATGACCAAATTTAGAGCAATCTCAAATATCAGCGGGGAGGGGGGGTGCAGAAAAGACTATTTCGACTTACTCAGTAGCTAAAAGCCCATCTGTGAGGCCACCAATGAAGATCACCTGATGGTTAAAATCACCAGTCCTGAATGCTACCTGAAAGAGGAAAAGTAAAATTATAGCACAAAGCCATTGATAATGCAACACTAGCAAAATGTATCCAAAAAGAAGTTAGTTTATGTATAGAAGGGGTTTGCTCTAGATTTAAAATATATATATTAAAGAAACAACACAGCACTCAAAAGACCTAAACATAGAGGCATCTGTACCATAACTTTCAAGGGATGCAAATGTATCTGATAAAAAAAATGCGAGGTATTTCCCTGCAGAATAAGCTTCCCAAGAATACTGCAGTCTGATCTAGTGGGTATGCTTGTCATGCTTATGTTCTACTAAGCTAAGAAACAATTGATCTTATTGGAGCTGCAAATGGCATTACAGGTGTCCCAATTCCAAAAGTAGCAAAAATTGCCAGAAGCATGCGCGAGGTCACCTTAGTATAGACCTCACTGTAACAACAAATAAAGAATTAAAATACAGTCTTCTACCAGACAATAGACGCTCATAATGGCAAGCCAGAATCTGCTGGAAAGTGAAAACTAAGCATGGTCACAAAATTTCATGGTGAAAAGCAAGAGGAATAAAGATAGGAAGCAAGCAAACCACAAGAATAACCATGGTGTATAAGGACCAACACTCACTGCCTACAGGGTCAACAAGACAACAACTAAAAGTTACTCTACATACCAAGTAGGCTTTCCTTAGCAGGAAATGTTACAGAAACTACGAGACAAGCAGCAAAAGTGCCATAGCCGTGTAACATTACTACCAAAGGAGAATTAAACCCCAAATCCAAACAGCAAATTGCCAAACCGTACCCCTAAATCCAAAATCGCCACCTTTTTCCGAGTTGTTGAACATCATAGAATCTTCCATATTCCATAGGAATCTAAACATGCACCGAGGCACGCTTTAGACATGAGTGAGAAAACGTAGAAAGCCCCACTCGCTAAAAAAAGCAGAATTCCGCAACTGAAAAGGGAGATCCCGCGTCTGGAATGTCGCAAAAGATACCCTCCTTCCAGTTCCAGAGGCCGTGGCAGCACGCGGCGACCTTCTGGAAGCTTCCAGAACATCCCGGCCACGGATTTCCCCCGTGTAGCGGATTATAGACTGCTCGGCGAAAGCAACCGCGGAATGAGGTGACGAGCTCCATCTCGGGTTCCAGAACTTGGCAGGGGAAAACCTCGCCTACATACAAACTGGCTAAATCCAGGCATCGAACCAACGATCTCCAGCTCGTGGCGCGAGCAGCGGCGGCGCGAGGGGGAACGCCCGTACGTACCTGCGCGGATTTGGGGCCGTACTTGAACAGCGCCCCGCGGAGCTGATTCCGCTTGCCTCCTCCGGGGCCGGCGCCGACCACGACGGACTTGGGCGCGTCGGGGAGGGACGCGGACGCGGAGGCGGAGGCGGGGGCGGAGGCGACGCCGCCGGCCATGGTGGAGGAGGAGGAGCGCGCGAGACCGGAGAACCAGGAGGTGGGGGCCGGCGAGGTCATAGTAACGGCAGCGGCTGCGGTGGTGGCGGCTGCAGCGGCGCGCCTCACGGGCTCACGGCGTGGGCATTGCGGACGTGGGTGGGGTCGGCTGGTAGGCGGCTCGGCTACGACTTTCTGGGCTTGTTGGATCGAGCTGGTGTGAATCAAGACGAGGATGGAAATGGATTCAGGCATCGTTTAAATCGTAAAGGTTTGGGGGTGTCGTGTGGGCTGTTGCATGGATATTTACGTACTAATAAAAAAATAAATTATAGAATCTGTTAATAATTTACTAGATGAATTTATTAAATTTAATTAATCTATCATTAGCAGATGTATTACTGTAGCACCACATTGTCAAATCATGAACTAATTAGATTTAAAAGATTCGTCTCGTAAATTAGTCACAAACTGTACAATTTGTTATTTTTTAATCTATATTTAATACTACATTCATATGTCAAATATTCGATAGGATATAGAGTAAACTTTAGGGAGAAACTTAACCAGGCCTCAATTGTTTTTTACTAGACAGAAAGAAATTCGATAAATAAAAAATATATAAGGGCGACGTTTACTCGGCTGTATGATTGGCACTGATTGTCCTGTCTTGTGCGGTTGGTAAGTTTGGCGGTCATCTTTGTGTTTTGTTTCTTTGCAATTGCTCGCTTGGTTTTTCTTCAACAACTAAAAAGAATAAAGCGTGGAAATTTTTTGGTGAGATATTTGTTTTGGGTCTGTCTTTCCCCGTGCGATACCGCGAGCGCTACCTCGGCCTGCCTGGTGTGCGATGGCTCACGCTTGCTCGGTCAACGGAGGTAAAAACGGAAAGCCAACGCAATCACCGCAACGAATTTTGCCTTCCTGCGATCCCACTTCGCCAACGAATTTTGCCTTCCTACGATCCCACTTCGCCTTCGCCTGATCGGTCGCACTCCTCATGCGGTGGATTGGCCTTCTACCGATGTCGCCCTCGTCCTCGCCCTCCCGCGTCGGGGAAGGCGGTGGCCCTCGAGGTCGAGGTCGAGGGCCTTGAGGATGAGCGAGGCGGAGTCACGGGGATCGATGGCGATGGTGCGGTCGGCCTCGGCGACGGCCACGCGGGTGACCTAGCCGGGGGCCTTGGGGGCGCAGGGAGCACCGGCTCCGCCGCGCCCTCTCCTTCGATGAGGCGGGGACCCCATGCCTAGGGAGGTCATGGCGGAGGTGCTGCTCCGGCTCAGGCCCTGCAGGGTCATGGCTGCAGCGGGGTCAGATGCGACTGGCAGGACTGCGCCGCCCAAATCTGGAGGGCAACCGAGGAGCTTCGCAGCCGCGTCCTTGCCTTCTCAGCGCGCTGCTCCTGTGGGGATGGGTGGCGACGAGCCGCTGTTGCTGCGGCAGCGGAGGCGAGGGTTGGTTTGTTGCAGAGGTATATGCTGCTAATTCACAATTGAGAAAATTGCAGCACCCATGATAAATTTTTTTTCTTTGTTGTGGCTGAGAATTTGGGATATGTCCAGCAGGCCGTGGTGCTCGCCGAGGACAATAAGTACCCCATCGCCGACGAGATGAGCGGCATCTTAGTTTGGAGATGGCGTCTTATTGTGGAGATACTCATGGATGAGACGAGCACCGCTTGGGCTGCCCATCTTTGCAACGCTCTGCGTTGTCAAGTTTAAGATCAGGCCGGCTAACTTCAACTGATTTGGGTTGGCTAACTTAAGTGGAGATGCTTGCCTTATGGAGAAGAACATTAGGAGGCACTGATTTTTTTGCTTGAGGGTGATAAATTATGTCGAGAAGAACACCGGAAGGCACTCATTTCTGCTACTAGGACAAACTTAGAATATTATTATGGGGCCCTGAGGGATGAGAATCCATTAGTCGGGATATGCATGTCATTGTGATGAAATAATCAGAGTACATAGATAGGCCAAGACAGTTACATCCAAGTACTGTACTGCTAGTCTCTGGACACATACAACTATGGGGGCTGACCATCATGCTGCAGACCAACCAAATTCAAAATAAATAAGGTGCAAGCTTCTCAAACTTTTTCAGAATGAGATGTATGGGTTTCTACTAGATGCTCTTCTACTTTGTTGTCTGGGCTGCTGAATAATACATGGAGAGGATAAATTTTCGAAGGAACTTGCAACATTTCTGTTACTGTTTTAAAATTAAGTGATTGCTCCATCTCTTCCGTTTGGTGTTTGTAGCTAAAGAAAGCATGAATCTCTTCTTCAAAAGGTGGTTGAAAGTAGGGAATTTTCCATCGGTGTGCTAAAGAGCCTGAAAATGAAAGGTGTATCCTTTTCTCATCACTGATTTTGTTCATTACATATCTGGCTGATGGTAGTTTAATCACTATATACAGAGTCTATATCTATTTGTTGATGGTTATTCTCTGGCTTATATATATCACATGTTCAGCTTATTTAGTGTGTGAATGGTTGCGGCAGCTTGTCTTTGCATGATTTATGCAAATAATATAGCTGTGTCATTCTACTTTTGCCCAAATGGCCAAACTAGATTATTGTTGCCATGTTCATTCTGCATCAGCTAATAAACTACTAGGTTACTATTGGCATGTATACATTGCCCAGTGATATAACATCGTTTCTTAGTTTCTGCATTGCCAATAAAAAATAGAACTAATAAATACAATTTCTATCTTGACAAATTTATATTGGATCACACTGAAAATTTTCACACTGAATTTTTTTTGAAGGTTCACACTGAAAATTTGTCCTGCCATGTACAATCCACACTGAAAATTTTTGATACTGGGTTACCGTTGACAGTTCAGTTTCATTTGCCACCGAATGACCCTTCATATTGGCTCCGCTACGATGATTATGTTCTCCTTTTTTTAGCCTGTCTACATTTCTGTGAGCGATTAATGTACCAAGTTGAGTAGAGCGATTATAACATGTTCTTTACATGTACAAAAAATAAGATCCTACAGGTGAATATAAAGTGATGGCTCTCCTGTTAAAAGAAAATGATGTCTCTCTTGTTAACTTATATGCAGTTATGAGATACTTATGTTGGGAGAAGCAAAGTTGGGCCGGTTTAAAAATGCTCTATAATCTTAGCTGTGCTCCACCTTTCTATAATCTAAACATAGGAATGATCACACATAGGTAGTCACCTCATTCCTGTCTTCATTTATGTTTTGTGTTTACTTTCCATAGTACTGGAATGGGTGTAATCATTTTCACAGATACTTGATAAGTTATGTATGCCCTCGATGCAAGGACGTTGTGTCAAAACTATGTTTTTGACAATGCATATTAGACTTAAAAAATATTTTTGATAACAGTAAGTGACTAATATTATTGTTCCTTTATTTCTTCTAGATGTTCCTTCTGTAAGGAAAATGGACCCTAAACCCATTTACTTTGGATTTTGGTGTTTGATGACCAACACAACCAAATTGGACTAATGAATTTGCAAGTGATTGTTTTGTAGTTCAATAGGGTGCAAAACGTGACTTGAACGAAGGCGACATGTTGATCCCACGATCAACACCATAAGAAAGACCCTAGGAGCACAAGAGAAGACCCAAGATATCAAGCAAAGTCCAAGCACGAAGATAGGAACCAAGCCGGACGCAAGATCGTGAAGAAATGAGCTTCGCAGAGGTGACCAAACGCGGCCCTTATAGGGACCGGACGCGTCAAATCAGTTGCTCGGCAACAGCAGGTGTCAGCAGCAGCGACCAGACGCTGAGGACTAAAAGTGACCGGACGCAACAATGACACTGTTCACTGTCGCGACAATATCTCAGCACTGACCGGACGCTGGAGGGTGATCGACCGGACATAGGAACTGTAGCGTCCGATCGAGTCCATAGAGGTTCTAGAGCGACAAAAGCGCTACCGGACGCGTCCGATCAATAGTGACTATACTCGGCAGTGCGTCCGATCAACACGCGTGCTCTAACGGTCAGGACGACCGGACGCGTCCGATCAGGACGACAGCAACGTTCGGTCAGTAGCAAAAAAGTGGGTTACGTCCCCAACGGCTACTTTCTCCATAGGGCTTATAAATAGACCCCCCAACCGACCATTTGAGGAATGTGGAGCTGAGAAAACATACCAAGGGTGTTGATACATTATTTTAGAGATCTCCACTGGCATAGTGCTTAGTGATTCATTAGGTGATTAGCGTAGGTGCTTTGCGAAGTGCTTAGGTTGATTAGACCACCGCTTATGCGTTTGCTCTAGGTTTAGGCCAAGCATTTAGTGAGGTTTGCATACCTGAAAGGTCCTTGTTGGTTTTGGTAATTAAGTGACAACCTAGGTGGACTAATTGTGTTTATGTGAGATACACAGGTGATTAGTCCACAGGTACATGTGTATGAGCAACATATGCCATGGAGGTGAAAATGGCTTGGAGATGTTGCAAAGCTCACACATGTGATGATGAAGGAGCTTATTGCACATGAGACATGACATTGAGTCATGTGATCAAGGTGGAGAAGATCAAGACAAGACTTGGCTTGATGGACTGGTTGCAAGCGTGAAGGGCAAGTCAAAGGCTTTGGAGTGATGGACCGCGTGGCGGTGAAGCTTGAGCAAGACTTGGCGCCGATGGACGATGGCAACGGTGAAGAGCAAGTAGAGTCAAGATCGATGAACCAATATGATCATGTGATGATATGAAGTGGATCATATCATTGTTGATCGTGTTGGTGCATGTGTTGCATCGACATTGAAGGAGATGGAATGGAATGCGCAAGGCAAAGGTATAACCTAGGGCATTTCATTTCACCGGTCATAGGTGTGTAGAGAAGTTTATGACCGGGTTTAGGATAGATGGCCATACTATCAAGAGGGGCAAACTTGTTTGCATATCGGTCATCTAGTGCCACTCGAGTGATCTAACTTTGCATTGTCGCTAGGATCGAGTGGCGTGGCAAGTTGAGTGGCTAACATCCTTTGGGAAATGATTGTGAAAATGCTAACACACATACACATGGTGGTGTACACTTGGTGGTGTTGGCACATTTACAAAGGAGGTGGTGTTTGCAGGGGTGAGATGGGTTTGGTGGTGCTCGGCGGGATTCGGCGCTTTCGGGAAAATAGAATGCCTATTTTCTATTGCGCCGGATGCAAGTTCTTGTGGTTAGCACATTGGAGCAAGGGTGATGAAGTTAGAAGTGAAAACGAGTTAGTCGCGAAGATGCTGGCATCGGTCAACTGACCGGACGCTGGATCTGAATGGACCAGACGCTGGCAGGCTGCGTCCGGTCAGGCTGACGTACGATGACGCAGAAGCTGGAGTGTGACCGGACGCTGGCTGCGTCCGATCAAGTGTGACCGGACGCGTCCGGTCAAGGTTGGTACCTTACTGGAAACGACCGGACGCTGGGGGTTCAGCGTCCGGTCAGTTGATAGCTGCTGCGTTCGGTCAAGTCAAGTGACCGTTGAAACCGGGACACGTGGCCGTCTGCGGGCGACCGGACGCTGAGGTCCAGCGTCCGGTCAACACGACCGGAGCATCCGGTCGGCCCGACCGTTGCCCAGTGAAGGGGTAACGGCTAGTTTAGCCCTTGGGGCTATAAATAGAAGTGGCCCTCGGCCATGGCTGGAGCTGAGCACCTCAAGGGACTTAGTGTCCATGCTTGTGAGTGCTTGGGAGCCCTCCATCACACATATACTTGATAGTGATCATTCGATTGTGTGAGTGAGCGATTCTAGTGCGATTGCATCGTGAGGTTGCATCGAGTGGCACTAGGTGGTCGTGTTGTAAGCCGGTGGTGCTTGTTACTCTTGGAGGTTGCCACCTCCTAGACGGCTTGGTGGTGGTCTCCGTCGAAGCGCGCAAGAAGCTTGTGCGGCGCTCCGAAGAAGTGCTTGTGAGGGGCATTGTGCTCGCCCCGCGGGAGCCGCGAAGAGCAACTCTAGTAAAGCGTGTCATTGAGCTACCCTCACTCAAGGGGTAGGTTCTTGCGGCGCCCGACGTGCGGGCTTAGCGGGTGATGCTAATTAGCCGTCGAACCACCAAGTGAGCGGTCGACACAACGGGGACTAGCGTGTTGGCAAACATGTGAAGCTCGGGAGAAAAATCATCGTGTCAACCTTGTTCTTCCCGTTGGTTTGCATCCCCATTACACAAGCTTGAAATTACTTTTATATATCTTAAGCTTGTGTAGTTGCTCTTGTAATTAGTTAGCTTGTGTAGCTTACTAGTTACCTTCTTGCTTGTGTAGCATAGAAGTAGCTCCCTTGCGTGGCTAATTTGGTTTTAGTAACCTTGTTAGTCACATTGCTTAGTTTGTGTAGCTAAGTATTTGCGCTCTCTAATTAGGCATTGGTTGCCTTGTTATTGAGCTTTGCTAGTGAGCTTAGTTGGCTTTGTGCTTTTGCTTACTAGCATGTGTAGGAGCTCTCTTGTTGCTTAAAGTACTAGTGGCATAGGTTTGTGTAACCTTGCTCCTAGAATTGTTTAGGAGAGCTCTAACTAGCCCGGCACCTTTGTTGCATAATTGTTATCTTTGCAAGGTGCTAGTGAACATATATAGTGGGGTATAGTCTTGGCTAGACCGATAGTTTTAATTCCGCATTTGTTTCGGTTAGCCAACGTGATTAAGTTTTAAAAGGACTATTCACCCCCCCTCTAGTCGCCATCTCGACCCTTCAATACCTCTTATCACTCGGTGCTTGTGCGC